TTGGTCGATTACATTAAGAATAACTGGACAAGATTTGATGTTAATGTTTGCTTCGAAATATCTTGGTGTTAGCATGCATGTACTGTACACTACTTCGATGTATATGCTTATGAGTGAGGGGGAGGCAGTTTTTCACTAGTGATGTTTTGGGTTTTGCTCGTGGATTTTCAGGTAGAGTTAGATGTGGTGGAGTTTTACTTAGTCGGTATTACTGGGTTGTTGCTTCATAGTCCAGAAGCCCCGTGTAATATCACTCCATCATAGCTAACGTAAAACAAGCAAACAAGCCGTGGGCCCTATATCTTTGCGAAGATAACCGTGTTAGACTTGTACTTTGTGAGCTGTAGTGCTGGTCATACTATACAGTTCGAATGCCTACGAGTCGATACAGTACGTATAAGGCTAGATATGACCAAGCAATTCTCGTTAACAGTAAGTTCCACAGTTTACGGTTAACCACGAGCAAAACAACATGACATTTTCGGTGACCACCAGTAAAAAGTCAAATGGCCACACGTTTTTATCCCATGAGTGAGGCACGGCGAGTTCGACGAGTACGGTATGGCGAATGGAGGTGAGAGGGATGCGAGTTGCTCTAAGCTAATGGTGGAGAGATGGAGGAAAGGCAGCCTTCCACAACCAAACTACCGGTACACGCCCCCAAGCTAACACCATCGTGGCTCCTTGTCCTACTAACGTTAATGCCATACTGTACCATTAACGCGTGTTGGGTAGCTGTTGGTATAAGGAATCATTTTTGGCTTAACGTTAGTTGTCGTAGATGGGTATACCTTTCCCATAAGCCATCAACTAGTACAATAGTTCAGGCAAAGTTGTATTCGTACGCTTGACGTTAGCCAGTCCTTGGACACTAAGAATGACGCACTCCTCCAACTTTGAGACGATATTGCCATTTTCCCCATGCAACGCCCAAAGAACCTGAATTTATGCGTTTCAAAATTCTTCAACTCACGCTGAGTATACTTTAATCCAGTGTTTCGTGAATGTTTCGTAAATCAGTGGTATTTTTATATACTTGAAGCCCCATACAAAATCCAGCATAAAAGAAAATCGATACTTCCGTTTTACGAAACAAAATGTTTCGTGACTGTATTGAATCTGTTTCATATTTGTTTCGTAAATCGTGTATATCTATTTTGACCTATTCTCAACCACTGGATTGATAGATTACGTATCTTTTCAGAAGGATGAAAAAGATAAGGGCTGGTGTGGATGCCACCTCATAAAATTATGCCATAACGTTAAACCGTTTTGGCAAGTCTGCAAATATTTCCCAAAGTCTCATATCCCATGAACAAAAGGAGAAAGGAAGTATCTACAAAGTTGTCTGAATGCCAGTTGAATTATAGAAAAATTATTCGATTTCTGAGTGAAGCGCAACACCGTCAACGTGAACACAAACTTTCATAAAAAAAATTTGGACCACATCGGTCCATTTTTTTATGCCATAAAACACCCGATTCGCAAGATAATTGTGACATAATTTTTTTTGAATATTGGTGGCATCCAGACGCACGAAATACCGAAAAATAGGAATATTTCGATTTTGGCAACTTTTCTTCGAAAAAGTGCCAAGTTATACCATTTTTTTCGTGGCATCCGGGACGCGACAGCTCATCTATATTGGTGGTGCTGCAAACAACCGATCGATTTTCCGTTCGAATAACTAAAAAATATATATTTGACATAGATCTTTCTTTTTAAGAGCTCCTGATTACTACTGTACCCTGCTGTTATTTCCAGGCGTTGGCGAAAGCGGCCACAACGGCCCACGTCGAGCTCATCACGAAAAAACCTGGAGATCAAAGTGGCCCTCAATACACTGCCCAACTTTACTTGCGTGCCAAATGTGGGCTTGGAACCGATGCCCCATCACTGCGGCACGACACATTTCGAAGATTCCATGAGTCAAGTAATGTAGTAGTACTATTATAGTATTCATTCATTTCATGAAGGGATAGGGGAGGGGCACTACACTACTTGTATCGTTTATAGTGATGCGATCATAATACTCCGGAGTATTTATTATGTAGATTGAAGCCGCCTTCTTGGACGTCCAGAACGGCATGTCGTCTCGTCGCCCTGTGATTGAAATGAACACTCCAACGTCAATGGATGACTCGATCGCATGCCTGGGCAGCACATTGCCCTTCTCATTGTAAAATATTCCCCAAACCTACCCAAAGTAAAGTTCCATTTGCCGTGTACTCTATATAATAGTAGTAGTAAATACATCCTGTTAACTTTAACGACTAGTCGGATGGTAGTAGTACATACAAGAAAGAAATGAACTCGTAGTTCACACTATATTATGACGACAGGATGGACCGTGGACAGAAGCAAACAATACCAAGTTTGCTGACCAGTGTTTCTCCGTGATTGACCAATACGCACCCGGGTTCAAAGCATCGATCGTGGGCACTGATATTTTGACGGTAAATTGATATATTTATTATATCCTACACTACACTACTACTTCGAAGTATACTGTATACTATTAATAGTAACGTTACTACGTACACTTCGAAGTATGTGATATATTTCTAAAAATCGAATTCGATTGCATTATTCGTATTGTAAAATCATTTTCGAAAATATGATCGATGATAGATACTAGTACTACAGTATTTAAGTTTTTGATCTAACATTATGCAAACGACCTTGATAGCAGTCGCGTGGTAGCGGGCCTTGGTGATGAAGGGATCGGGGAACCCAAGAAGACGTGCGAGTTCGGGGATATCGGTCTTACCGAAACGGAACATGAATCGGCAGTCCGCTTCGGTCTGGGAGTTGAAGTTGAACCGTCCAGCAGGGATGGTGATGGCTCGTGTGGAGTTCATGTACTCCACTAGCTCAGCTACCAGTGGCAACACTGGTAGGACGTGTTCCATGAAGAGTATGATGCAAAGTGTGAAAATTTGTGACAGCAAAAGCTCGTGACCAATGAAAAAACCCAATTAAATTTACTTGTAAACTGTAAGGGGAAAATCATGTGGATTCTGGGTGCAAAATCACTCTATTGAATAAAACAAATAGATACTTCAGCACTTTATATAAAAAGATGGTTGAAATACAATGAATGAGAAATGGAAATGAAATTCATTTTATTGTCGATTCGGTACAAATTTCCCGACCCCCCGTCGAATCGAATCACGAATCGACGCTATTGGCTAATCCATTTTTTAGTGGATTTGATTGGCTCGTACAGAAAGGTCAAGTCGATTCAACCAATCAGAACTCGAACGTGATTCAATACTGATTGGACAAACCACGCGAATTTTG